CCATTTCACATTATAATTATTTGCTTCCCCAGTAGATTATAAACTTTTTTTCCTTTTTTAAAGATTTTATTGGGGAATTGGGGGAGTGGAACAGCATTGGGGAATTGGAGAAGGGGAACAGACAAGTTGCTGTCCTTTTGTTCTTCAGTCTAGTTGTGGAGGACGTAGCTTCACTGGCCCATGTTGGTATTATCATTGCACTCTTCCCGGGTGAGGCAGTCACTCGCCAGCCACTCATGGCGGCTCAGGGCAGCCCACTGCAGCCCCACTGCAGCCTATGCCGTCACCGGTGACTCAGCAGCCCACCTTGGAGCTGTTGGTTCACCATCTTAGCTGTAGAGGGCACAGCGTCACTGGCCCTCATGTGGGATCCGAACCAGGGCTCTGCTGCTCAGAGCTGGCGTCCCAAGCCAACTCTTAACAAACGCGCCACTCGGCTGGCCCAGATTATAAACTTCTTGAAAGTAAGGATAATGTGTCTACGTTTTGTTTAAATCAGGGATTAGAACTGTTAGCAGGCATTCAAAATTCCTCAAGAGAAAGCCTATTCCATGCAAAACAATGTGTACTGAATCTTCCTCCTCTATGGCTGAACATATAAGGGCCATTCCTTCCACCTTACTTCCTATTTGGGGGCAGGGACTTGTTGACTTTATTCACTTCTATACCCCAGTAGATGCACAGGGTCCGACACATAGTAGTCGCTCAGTGAATTCGTTTAATGAGTGAAGGAACAAGGGTGGGTCTCTTCCCAGTGGAGTGGCATAATGTGAGAGCAAACATCCTTAGTGCCTCTCCTGCATGAGAGCGTTTCCCTAAAAAGCATTCTGTTGCATCATAAGCTCGCTCCTTTCCCCACAGGTATTATATAGGATGGCATTTCCCAAAAATGTTTGTTAATAGGTTTTACAAGGAAAATAAGTTCCAGATTTAACAAGTTTTAGAAATGCTGACTAACAAAGTCTAATCTTTACAGCAGGACCTCTCTGAGACCTATTGTGAGACTCTCCAAACTTATCTGGCCATACACCCATTGGGAGACAAACCTAGAGACAGAAAGTAGACTGGCGCTTGCTTAGGAGTGGATGTGAGTTAAGGGGAAATGGGGATTAACTGTTCATAGGAAGAGGGTTCCTTTTGGGGATGAAGAAAATGTTTTAAAATTGAGGTGATTATGCAACTGTGGGAATATATTAAAAACCATTGAATAATATACACTTTAGATGCATAAGCAGTATGTTATGTGAATTGTATCTCAATAAATTGATTATAAAAGAATTCACATTTTATGTGTATTGTACCTCAATAAATTTGATTATAAAAGAAATCAAACAGGCCGGTCGAGTGGCGTGTTGGTTAAGAGTTGGCTTCGGATGCCAGCTCTGAGCAGCAGGGCCCGGTTCAGATCCCACATGAGGGCCAGTGACGCTGCGCCCTCTACAGCTAAGATAGTGAACAACAGCTCAACCTGGAGCTGGGCTGCCAAGAGTCACCGGCGACGGCATAGGCTGAAGTTCCTGCTGCAGTGGGCTGCCATAAGCTACTGTGAGTGGCTGGCAGCTGGCGTGAGCTGCTGTGAGCCTCCGTGAGCGGCCGTCCAGTGGCCAGCAACCGATCTGCCTTACCCGGGAAGAGCGCAATGATAATACCAACATGGGCCAGTGATGCGATGTCCTCCACAACTAGACTGAAGAACGAATGGACAGCAACTTGTCTGTTCCCCTTCCCCAATTCCCCAACAAATTAAAAAACAAAAAAAAAAGAAATCAAACACTTAAAAGGGGACCACATTGTCCCCTTCATATATGGAGTTCTACTAACTTCATGATAGTAGATAGTTCTGACTCCATATGAACCCTTTTAATATGGCTACATTAGGTACACAATAAAATAAAAGCAGAATAGTTTTAACTAAAGAACTGGGTAATAATGAAATTTGATGGAAGAAAACATTTTTCTGAGAAATCAGAAGTTATAACAATTACTAGAGAGAATGCTGATTTTCACGGAACAGTTCAGTCCCTCTATAGGCAGTACAGGGGATAAGATAAACAAGGTTGCAGAGAACCAAAATAAAAGATAAAATAGATCAAAGTATAGCTAGAAAATTCAAGAGACCATAGGACACACATGTGGAGGCAAAACTAGACTGAGGTATAAACACAGCTACAGAAAGAATGTACTTGTCAGAAAAAAAGGGACTGGACAGAGCAGTGCATGCATAGTTACTATTTATTTAGCACCTATTAGGTGCCAAGATCTGTACTTGGCCAGTTATACTAAAAAATAACAGGCTGAGAGAGAAACGTTAATACTGAAGCTACCTTGGGAAGGGGTGCCAGGGCAGCAGGCTCTAGATTGCCGAATAGACAGTTCAGGATGTTGCTGCTACCATGAGTCATCCAGCCTACTCCCCTTCATCTGATTCCATGTCATTAGGCAACCTGCTGACTGTCCTCTGGCTTCCCAGAAGTCAACAAGTGATGTACACGACATAACTAGAGAGCTACAGAAAAGTAAAGCAATAGAGCAAAAGAGGCTACTGCATGTGCAGAGTCTGGGCGAAGACATACCGACTAAGCTGTTGACAATCGTTACCTCATGAAGTGGGACCAGAAAGGACTTTCCACTTACACATTTCCATATTTGGATTGGATTTTTTTTAAAATGTAACTATAGTACTTTTGTATTAGAAATAAATGTGATAATTCTTAAATAATAATTTGGCTTTATCTCAATATTAGAGCTAATGTGACAAAAATTATCTGGCATGTCCGTTTAATACATTAGCCTCCTGAATTGACACGTATGTCTTATGACCTTGATGTACATGAATACTATTAACGGAAGGATGCACTCTAAATATACTAGCAAAATTAGGTTTCTGAGCCTCCAAAGCCCAAGGGCTTGGTGACTTCTAAAATACGTGATACTTGGGAAAGCCTCCTTGCAGTCATCAGCTGGGCTTTCTTAGTTAAACCTGAACCACACTGAGTATCCTGCATTCAAATTCTACAAGCAGAAAATATTAAAGAGCCATAATTTATAACCCTTCCAGAGAACATTTCCCAACATTTCAGCATAATTTACAAACAGGCACCTCCTGGACAGACAGACTGGCCTTAGCCAACTAGCTTTGGAAGCAAAGAGGTTGGCTCTACACCACCAATAACTAACACCCTCTCCTTGCCCATGAACATATCAGAACCAGGGAGGGAGCCCCAAGAATATGCAAGTCATGAGTTTAGCTTGGCCCTAGAACCTAGGTCCTAAATTCCATTACACTCCCATCTCCAGCCCAGGGTTTAGAGTTAGGCATCAGAGTTCCCTGTAATCGGGTGTAAACATTAGCATCAGGTAACCAGCTGGCCCTCACCCACCTCAGAGTATGGCCAATTGGTTATCTCCAAATGACTGCTGGGTCTAAGAATGCTATATTGTCACAAATCCCCCAAACTCTACTTCTTGGTAAATTGAACTACTAAAAATCAAGACATCAATTATTTAAGTCTGAACTAGAAAAGAATAATACAGGCGATTCGAGCATCAAATTGATAGTTGGATTAGAAAACTATTCTAGTCCCTTCGAAACCCTGAGATACAATGGCTCCACAATAAACGAAGGTTTTCAAGAGAAGCCAAATTAATGAAACCGGCTAAAGATCTCAAGTGATTAGCGAAAACTCACACAAAAAGACAACACCCAAATAAGTCAGAAGGAACAATGAATCATCAACTTAATAGCCCTATATATGACAGATACTAAATTTGTTCTTTAAAAAAAAAAAATCAACCAAGAGAAATGAATGTTAATGGACCAACCTTGAATAAATGCTCTAAAAACATAAGCATTTATAAACTTCCACACCTAATGAGTCATTAAGACAGCCCACTCATAAGAAATAATTTTTGTCCACCTCCAAAGCCAAGTCTCAAGCTCAGACAAGCTCGTTTATATCTTGACTGGTCTGTATCCAATCCTGGCAACCTAGTTTTCCCACCAGCCAGTCCTTGTTGTGTCTGTGAAAGCTACTTCTCTCATATCTTAAGATTAATCTTCATTAACCCCTTAAAGCTACTTTTTTTTCTCTCCACACCCCCCCCCCATCCCACACCATGCCAACTGGTTCTTTCTGTACCGCCCAAAGTAATGATTCTCAATCACAGGCTTCAAACAACTACACAACTTCCAAGAACATTGCTCCCATATTCAGAAAGTCTCCACTTCTCTGAAAGCCAATGAAATTCTGCTTCTCTGCACAACGTTGACCTTGGAATAAAAATATATTAGAACTACATATGTGATCACAAAAAAAAAACAAACCATTCTAAGATGGTACATGTAAGGCTGGCTTACCAAATGACCAGCTCATAGTCCATTATTGAATAAAAAGTACAAGCCCCTGATGGAATCCCTATGTCCAACAAACATGAGACAGGACCCCAAGGCACCACACTTTGAAGCTTCCCTGCCCAACAATATGATAAGGCATCTCATCCCTGGCCAAGATGAGACCTATCTTTGGCCTCCCGGTCTACTACAAATGATCACTCAGGTCACCTTATTACTGTCTAGACACAAGTGTTCATGCTTTCACACATCACACTTATGAAAACTATTGTGAAGAGTAATTTAACAGTAGCAAAAGGAGAATAAAATACAGATATAAGAATGTAAATATGCTGAGACAGAGAAAAATAGCAAACACATGCACCCCTGCCAAGAGTACATAGGCTTCAGAAGAAGAAACCAAGGGAGAGACACCACTGCTCTGGTCTAACTGCTCTGCTAAGCGTTTGCCTAGCAACACCTCTCTCCTTTGTCCTCAGCCATTGTATGGTTTCGCCCCAAAGGGCTGCTCCCAGGGTAGGTTCCAGCAACCCTCCAGGGCTCCTTCCACCCCAGACACCCTTTGCAGGTCCAGCGTTCTCGTGCTGGTGGACGTCCAGCTCAGGCTACCCTGCATGATACAGCACAGTGGATATTTATTCTCAATTACCTCTATCTTATGCTTCCAAGGGAAGGCAGCTTCAAGCAGGTACGTGCTCTGGCCTAGGGTGACCTCTAGGCGGCTTCTCAGCATGCTCTGCCATGTCTGTGCAAGCAGGGAGCTGCAGCCAGCTGCACCGGCTCATGAGAGCCAGTGATGCACATCTCTGCCCATTCCTGCTCACTTCACCTTGGAAGTCTGAAGTATTTAGACCCTGAAAATCTGCAAACGTGACAAATCTGGGCATTTTCTTTCTTCCCTTGCAGAGCTGGTTGTTAAACATTTACCAATACACCACTACTTGTGCCTCAGTTTGTCATTCAATTAGTTTTTCTTTCATACAGAAATAAATTTTTGTATAGCCAAACCAATTTGACTTTGGACCCTTTCTCACTGCTTTTAAAAGCTCTTCAACTACTTGATAAATATTTTGTTTTCTTCTACTTGTTTACGGTTTCATGGAATTAATGTTGATGAATAGTATGAGTTATCCAAAATTTTTTTAACTAAATATCTAATGAATTCTGTTGATTTAAAATGGCTCCGTTAATAAATAATAAATTCTTACTTATACTATGGTCTTATGTTTACACTGTTCTCTTCCACTGACTTATTTTACTTTTGTGTCAACAACGAAACAATAGTGGCTAACATTTTTTGAGCACTTCCCATGTACCAGTAATTTGCTCAGCTCTTTATTTACATTATTTCATTTAATCACATGCTTTACAGGTGAAGAAACTCAGGCTTGGAGAGATTAAGTAACGGGTCATGGTCACATGACTGCTAAGTGGCAGGCCTAGAACTCTTACCTCCAACGCCTAAACTCATGACCCCTGTGCTAAACTGCTACATACTACTGACTGCTATAGCTTTTAAGTTTTATTAACTGATATTAGTCTCTCCTTTATGTTTATTGCTTAGAACCGTTTTGTCAAGCCCATCTAAAAATATATGTAATTTTTAGTCAGATCATGTTAAATTCATAAATTGAAAACCATGATATCTCAATATTCATTTTTACATCCAGAAACAAGGTATGTCCCTCTGGTTCATTCAAGTTGTATTTTATAAATCTCAATAAAAGTTTTATAGTTTTTTTTTCATTTCAGTCGCACATATTTCTTGTTAGGGTTCTCTCTAGGTATTCTGTATTTGTTGTTACTGTGGTGAATGGGATGTTTTTCCCATTACATGTTTCTAACTTGTTATTGTTAATATTTGGGAAAGCTACTGATTATTGTATACTTACCACCTACAGCCCTTATTAATAATTTTTAGTTGGTTTTGTTGGTTTTTGTATTTTATCTCTTTTTCAATCATTCTACTTATTTTTGTTTTATGGTTTATTGCACTAGTCGGAACTTCTAGAACAATGTTAATGGTGATGGAAGGCTTCCTTATACGTTCCTGAAATAAAGAGAAATCCTCTAGTGTGACATTGTCAAGTATGATATTGGCTGTTGGTCAAGATAGTGGATCTTGTTCAAGACATAGTTTTTAGCTCCTAGTTTTTAAAACAGCTTTTTAAAGGAATAGATGCTGAATGTTTTCCTTTTTTTTTTTTTTAAGTCCTAGAGATCATTTTAGGATTCTCCTTACTAAATACCTGTTTTAAACAGAAAATTTTTAGACTGTCCAATAAGGAGGCAGACCTGAGTTTGGTCCCAGGGTGTCTGTCAGCTTTAAGGAGTCCTACATCAGCGGTACAGTCTGGTCGGCTACAGTGTGTTCCTTTGAAATGCATTACCTCATACACAACTGGCAACTAGATGAATGACGTCAATATAATAGAGAAGTCACACTGACTCATGCGATTTTTCCCAGCATGTTAATGTTTCCAAGTAATCAGACTCAAGTTTTCTCATGATTATTAAAGAGAAAACCTTAGCAATATAAGAAGAACTGAAGGGGGAGGGGGAGGCTGAAAAATCTACAGAACTGACTGACTTTTTTTAATTTATTTTTAAATTTTTATTATTATTATTAGTTTCAGATATACTTTTAAGGGGTGGCTGATTCAGTGACAACAAACCATTCCACTTTCCTTCTTTTAAGCTATATGGCAAAGCTGCCAATGCAGCTGAGGAAGCTGCAAAGACATCTCTCCCTGTATTAAAACAATGTTTGAAGAAGGCTTATGTCCTGGATCAGAGTTTTAGTTCTATAGAAAAGGTCTCTAATTAGAAGACCGATTTCTTAAAGAAGAGAGCTCGAGTTCCAGGATTTAAGGCTACAAAGAATTTTCTGACTGTGACAACAGGTGCAAACACCAGTAAACTGTGCTCGTTTTTGTCTTAGTACTCCTGTTAGCACTATACCTGGTTACAAAGTTCCTTAGTTTTCAGGGTTCTGTTCCAACTCTATTTTTCCCATCAGCCTGTTATTTTCCATGCCTGATTTTGCACAACATGAGGTTGTTTATTTTTAGATTGTTGTCCAGGTTTTAGTATTGCTGTTTCTGTTTACTTGTATTTTCCAAGTTCACTTCTATGCGGTGGCAGCAGAAACATCTGTATTCCTCATAGAACCACTGGGTCTAATGAAACCTGTTTATCACAGTGTAGCCCACTTGAGACTTGAGATGTTTTCTTTTTAACCCAGTCAGCTAATAGGCATGAAGGACCTGCCATCTAGGAATTTAAGATACTTGATTTAAATATTGAAAAGTCTAAATCATGTATCATAGATGGAGTACCTGCAGTGAAGAGAGGGGGTGTGCAAATTTCTGAAGTATATTCACACAATGAGGCTGGCCACACCCAGGCTCCACTGTCTCCGTCACAATGCGAGTCTGTCACCAGACTCCTGACATTCTCTTGCACAATCTGCTCCACCTACAGCTTTCCCCGACTCTGTAAACAGTAATTCCACCTTCTCAGGTGTTCAGACTAAAAACCTTATGGCCTCTCTTCCTCACACCATATATCCCAATTATCAAGAAATGCTAGTATCTATCTTCCGAATACATGCAGAATCTGACCACTTCTCTCACGTTTCCACTGCAACCTCCCTGGTTCAAGCCACCATTGTCTCTCACCTGAATACTGCAGTAGCCTTCTATCTGCTTTAATCCTTTCCCCCTCGATGTTAGTTTCAATAAAATGACACCCCTTGCATCAGCAAGTCAGATCGCGTTAGTCCTCTTCGCAAAACCCTACAACGTTTTCCAGCCTCAGAGCAAAAGCCCAAGTTTTTTATAATGGCTTACAATGCCCCAGGTGCTCTGGCCCCACCTGCCTCCGACCTGTCTGCTGTCTTCCCTCCACACACTCCTTAACCGCTTTGCTCGCTGCCCCTCCAGCCACTCAGGCTTGCGTCCACCTCCTGACTTCTGCACTTGCTGTTCCCTCTGCCTAGAATGCTCCTTTCATAGTTAATCCAACTGGCTTGCCCCTCACTTCTTTATGTTTTTGTTCAAATGTCATCATTTCAGTGAAGTTTTTCTTGACCACCATATTGTAAATCGCAATCTCTCTTCTCTCTCTCTCTCTCCCCGCTCCCCTAACTTATTTTTCTCCATAACAGCATGTATCTTCACCTGCTAAACTGTATATTTTATTATTTCTGTGCCTGCTTTGTCTACTAGGGCAGAAGATTGGTGCTCTGTGTGGTAGCTCCAGCACCTACAATAGTTCCTGGAACATAGCAATGAGAGAGCTGCTCAATAACTACTTACTGAATGAATGAATCAGGTTCACTGCGGGATGTGATGAAGGAAGTAACAAATGACTCCCCCCGAGGTTACCGCCTTCATCATCACAAATTCCAGGAATACTCAGAAGAAGGTGAAGCAGTGCAGAGAAGTTTATTTTCATGCAGTCATAAGACTAAGCTGTGAAAACTTACTCAAGAGATTTACTGAGCTGCTTCCACAGATCAAGGACACTTGGAATTAAAGGGCTTTGAGTGGCTCGACTTGTCAGGCCCCCTGGCGACTCCCGAGATTGTTCTTCCGTGATGTGACAAGACATCTGAACACACTAAAACTGAAGCTGCAGCAGGGGGGAGGGGGAGCACTGCTGATGTGACCAAGGAAATATAATGTTCAGACTCCAACTAGACGTGTGAATTGGGCAACTGGGGACTGCATTCATTTCCCAGCCCCCACACTCAACAGAATCATTGAATTAAAAAATCAGAGAATTTTATAAATCGATTCCAAAAGAAATTCACAAATTTTTGAAAGAAAGAATCACACTTTCAGTGTGGTTTCCTCTGAAATGCATCCCTCAGGGATGGGCCTCAAATGGCATGGTTCACATTTTCATGACCAAAATGTGGGAGCTGAAAGCAAAATTTGAGCAACAAAAAGTCAATATTCATGATATTCTGAAGACGAATTTAAAAAGGTTAAAGCATCCTAAAACATCTGACATATGCTCACCTCTGGAACATGTTTATTCTCCCTGATGCTGTGAAAACATTCTTTTCTAGGAAAGGGCTGAAATCAACACTAGAGCTACCATCTATGATGTCAACCTAGAGTCACGAAGAACTGAAATGTTACTAAACACACTATAGTTGTAGAGTATGGTTATTCCTTAAATGCCACTTTCCTGTCATTACACCAAGAATACTTAGGACTAGCTCCAGGCCTGTAGCTTTGCACTTTGGGAGTTAAAAAGTTTATTAAATTATTTTCAAACTGATTTTTCAAATTAATCTTAAAATTGTAATATTATAAATCTGTTTATACCATTATTGTTAAGAATATAAATTTTGGGCCAGCTGAGTGGTGCATTGGTTAGGAGTTGGCTTGGGACACCAGCTCTGAGCAGCAGGGCCCCGGTTTGGATCCCATATGAGGGCCAGTGATGCTGTGCCCTCTACAGCTAAGATGGTGAACAGCAGCTTAACCTGGAGCTGGGCTGCCGTGAGGCACCAGCATAGGCTGCAGCCCCTGCTGCAGTGGGCTGCTGTAAGCTACCGTGAGTGGCTGGCAGCCAGCGTGAGCGGCCGGCAGCTGCTGTGAGCGGCCGTCCAATGGCCAGCAAGCGACTGCCTCGCCCGGAAAGAGTGCAATGATAATACCAACATGGGCCAGTGAAGCGACGTGCTCCACAACTAGACTGAAGAACAAAAGGACAGCAACTTGTCTGTTCCCC